AGGCGAGCCAGCCTCTAACTGTCAGACTGGATCTTCCCAAAGAGATTTTTTTGCATTGGAAATCCCTTGAAAAAGTCAAAGCAATACAACACAGTTCCTCTGTGAGGTGTACAGACCCCTGCAGGCAGCTGGAGCTGGGCTGGGGCAAAGAGAAGGGAGCGAGCCCCCAGTGGGACACCTGGAGCTGCTTCAGTGCTGTTGGGATGGAAATGCTGTTAGATGTGAATGTTCTGCTGAAAGGTTAACTGTCCCTTCCTCCAACCTGGGCTGTTCCTGAACACAGGTCTGTGTCTGTACAGGACTGAGTGCTGTTGCCCCATGCCAGGAGCATGCAGCAGGGAACGTGTCCTGTTCCCAGCTCTGTCTGTGACTCCCGTGGCTTAAACCAAAAACCTCATCACCTTTTTACCTCTCTTCTGCTATTAGACCCATCTGCAGGTGTGAGTGTGTGTTTTTCTGGTGAGGATTTGAGAGAAGACTCTGAAATCCCCCTCTGAAAGACGTACCTAGCAGGGGGTGGTTTGCTCAGGGGGTAGGTAGGTGTGTGTGGTGAGCCCAGCAGCTCTGCTGCAGCCTGGAGGTTGTGGTTGCCTGTGTTCTGTGCTGCTGGGCACACCCCAGTCCATACCATCCCACGTGTTGCATGTGCCTCCTGGGATGAGCCTGGCACTGGTCCCTGGTGCTGTCTCCTAAACTGGAGGTGCTGAGTCCCTCTCTGGAGAGGCCTCAGCTCCATTTCTGTGGCGTTCTCTCCGTGGTGGCACTGGGCTATTTTAGCAGATCCCACTTAGGGAGAGACCCACGTGGCTGTGAGGAGAAGAGCAGAGCCCACAGGCAGCCAGGACACTCGAGGACAGTCCATGCACCCAGTGACATAGGTGTCCAGATCCCACAGAGCAGAGGGCAGTGCTGCTTTTAGTCTTCTCCACTCTTTGGCACCTTTTATGCTCCCTCTTCTCCTGCTGGGTGAAACGTGGCACTAGTGCAAGGGACTGAAGTGGTGCCATCTGTATGTCCTTGGCACAGGGCAGAGCTTGCAGAGCCTCCTTCTCCTCCAGGGCCTTGGCAGCACATCAGTGGGTACTAACCCACGAGGACCCTCACCCAGCCTGGGTGAACTCGGCCCCCCTTGGCCTGCTCAGTCCATTGCTGCTCTGCTGAGACTATAAATTAAGAGGCCGAATAACGATTTGCTCTCCTAGCAATGGTGAAATAAGCAGCTATTCATTAAGAAATCAATTTGGATGCTGTAGAGAGGGGATAAGAACCAAGGTGGAAATGAGACCAGTGTGCACTTTCACACGTCATCTTAATGACCACTGAGTCAGAGGTGCCAGTCAGCGAGCAAATGGGAAAGGATTGATCCATACCCTACACTCACGTGTCCTCCTCACCCCCCCATGACCTTCCTCCAGCTGCTGCAGAAGGAGAAGCCACAGGAGGAGGTGGTTGGGTCTGTGCTCAGGCAGCATCCTGGAGCCAGGTGCTTTGCTGACGTTAAGAAGACATTGGGAATAGCAGGATCAGTAGATAACTCTGCGCTTCATTTTCCACTGTTTGGTGTTCCCTGGTAGCTGGATGCCTGCTGCTGGAGCCTTGAGGAGCAGTCAGGGGGGACAGGTCGTTTTTAAGCTATCAGCAGGACTGGGATATTGAATTTTACCCTTCCCCCCCTGGGCTGGGAACAAACGCTGGCAGCCCCGAGACCTGGATCCCTTCCAGTTGCCGTCAGGCACTTGCTGATCCTGTCTGTGTCTCAGCCAGATCTTTGTCCTTTCAGTCATTTGCTTTGGTTTTTCTTAATTATCTGCGAAGGACAGCCCTGGGGGGATGTAAGTGGCTTTATTTACACATGTCCTTTTCACTGCCACGGCTGTATTGTTATGGGAACTCCCAGCTGGGAGCAGGAAAAGAAGTGTCAGCATTTAGGGATGTGTGGTGTATCCAGCTATACACTGAAAAGCACAGGGGAAAAGAGGGCTGTAGCCAGAGAGAGAACACGACACTTTGAATCCCAGGCACTTGCAGGATTATTTTTAAATGCTTTGTAGTGTTTTTGGAAACAAGAGGTCAGCGGCTTGGCCAGAAGCAGCCGAATGCAGACGGGTGCTCCTCAGGCATCTCCGGAGTGCTGCCCACATCCCCAGCCCTGCCCTGGTCACACCCCGTCCTGCTCCTGAGCTGCTCCAGGAGCCACGGCAGGGATGAGGGAGAGGTGTCTCCACTGAGTGAGCCCTTTGGGACTCCTTGGAGATGTGCTCCCTGCTTCCCTCCCCCTGTGCACTGCTGCCTGCTCTTGGGAATGCTTTTTGTTGTGCCCCACGCTTAGATTTTGGGAGGGCTTTTGTGGCTCAGTGTTGGCTTTGACCTTGGCAGAGGAGGGAGCACTGGGAGCAGGTTCCCAGCCTGCCCAGCATCCTCCACAAGGCGACTCCTGTACTGGCTGGTGACAAATGCTGTCGTTTGCTGGATCAAAACCAAACAAAACCCAACGTGTTGTTTTTTTATCCCCTGCACAGACACTACAAAAGGAGCACGCCCATCTCTGTGCTGTTCCCAGGCAGAGCACAAAGCTCTCCTTGAGGGTTTCCTACGGAGCTCAAGCAAGTGCTTCCTAGAAAGCAGTGTGCCCATGCCAGGCTGGCACTGAGCTGGGGTGCTGGGGGAAGGCAGCAGCTGCTGGCCTCAGGCAGCAAACTCCACTGCCCACCCTCGGGCACACACCTTGGCAGCCACTGGTCCCACTCACAGGCAGGAAAGGGGAGATGTGAAAGACAATTTTAGGAGATTCTGCCTGTTTCGCTTCCCTGGGAAGGAGGTGGGTGCAGGAGTTTCCTCCCTGGCAGCAGGCAGGCTGGTGAGGCTGCTGACAAGCTCTGCTGCTGGTTTGCTCCCTGCTGGAGGCCAAGTCCATCTGGTGGAGCTGGCAGCAGCAGGGCTCCTCGGGGTCAGCAGGTTCCACGGCTGGACCCGGGAGGGAAGAGCCCTCCTGCAGACACTGTGAAGTTTGGCTGCTCCAGGGAGGACCATAAGGCACAGACAAATGTGTGAGGAGTGTCAAGGCAGCGGTGATTATGGGCAGGCACAAAAAGCAGAGCTCCTTCCCCACCAGCACCAGCAGCAGTGCCTGCTTCAGTGTGCCTGAGAGCAGAGAGAGCCCCGTGTGCCCAGGGCTGTGCTGGGCAAGGGCAGCCTGGGGGGTACAGAAGCTAGCCCCTGTGAGGGTGGGCTTCTCTCCTCTCCAGAGAGCCTTCCAGTGGCACTGCATGTTCCACTCCTGGTGCTCAGAGGGGAAGTAATGGTGCCTGTTGTGGTTGGTGACTCTGTTATTACAGGACAGTTGAGGTTGGGGTGGC